GCGCGATTCCCCAAACCTTCCGTCAAGGCGAAGGTCCCGCGTGGGTTGGGCCAGGGGCAGGTCCCGACGGTTCAGCGCCTGTGGTCCTCTATTAACCTCCAGTGCAGCCTATCGTCCCCGGGAGCCTGACATCTGCGGCTTCTCGGACGGCTGGCTTCTTACGGATCTAGGATGCCTGCTCTCTGGACAGCTTCTTTCTCAAGGATGGCGGAGCCTAGGTCCCCAGCTACCCAGACGGATCTCTCCTGGCCGGAGCGGGGACTGTTCTCCGCGCTCTGGACGTCCCGGGCTCTGCGCTGGGGTGGCACCCACCGGACGCGACCTCCTCCTAGGTTTGCGCTCTACCTCTTGGCCAGCACTGACCCGCCTTCCTACCCCAGCCGCGCCCCCAGCCCCTGCTGGAGCTCCGGCCCCGCGCGTCTCTCCTGGTAACGTGCTCCCTGTCTGCGTCCCTCACCTTCCTCTCCTCCCTCCCAGGGCGGCAGTGACTGTGGTGTGAGCAGCCTCGCTGCGGCTCCCTCCCGCGGACCCCCGCCTCACGGTTGATGCCCGGCTCTGGGCGATTCTGCATAGGTTCCCTGTTCCCACCTATCCTTACTTCCACCCTCTACCCCGAGTTGGGTATTCCCGGAGCCCAGAGGAAGCCAGAAAATAGCGATGGGGTAAAAAGGGGTCGAGATACACAAGATACACACAGAGAAAAGACAGGTGGATTCCTGAGCTAAAAAGAGCCACCCCCCCCCAAGAAAATTAAAATAAAATATAACAAGCAAACAAACGAGCAAAAAGGGTGGGGAGAAAAGAAATTCACCACCCCCTGCCCCTCAGTACCCATAACCAAATATCATATGGTAAAGGGTTCAACGGTACATTTTGTCTTGAACTAGAAAAGGCAAATCTCCAGCCACCGTACCCTCGATCCCCCAGCACTGGGGAGCACAGAGCCCAAGAGAATGAGGAAGCAGGAGAGAGTGAGAAAACAGAGGAGCCTGTGGAAGCCGGCAGCAAACCGACAGGAAAGCCGGGGGAGCGACAGAAATCAAAGAGACAGAAAGCCAGATAGAGACGCAGAGACAGAGACAAAGCTTGGAAAAGAGACTAACTGACAGCCCCAGAGCGGGAGAGGGAGAGACAGAGACGGAGAGCGAGAGGGAGACAGGAGCCCAGACAGGTTGACAGATCGAGAGAGAAATGTAAATGGTGCGCCGCAGAGAGACACCCAGGTCCGTGTTTGGACTCCAATGTGACATATCAACTGTGGGAAGACGCGGGGGCGGGGCGGTTCTTCAGCAGAGTGGTCGGCTCTGGGCCTGTGCATTGTGACCGGGCGCTGGCAGGTGGGGATTCGGATGTAGCCATGGGACCCTGGCCTTGTGTGTCCCTGGGTGAGTGGGGTTGTGGATTGTCTTGTCCTGGTGTGTGTATGGTGAGGGCTATTGGAAGAGAGGTTTTGTATTTGTCTTCCTCTTAGTCCTTGAATGTGGGACCCTATGAATGCCATCTCTCCGATCTCGGGGGAGTGGAGTCCACCGGGGAAAAGAGTCAGCAGGCGGCTCTTGTCCCTTCCGCTGCCCAGCCTCGCCTCCTTCCAGCCCTGCCCTAGTCCCAGATTTTTGTCCAGCCCTAGGATCTCTGCCACCTTCCTTCCCCCTTCCTCATAGGTCTGTAGTTAGATAGAAAGCCAGAGAAGTTCATAGAAACCCCACATAATAAATGTTTGGAGGAGGGGTTTGAAGTTGGTTTTGTAAATTAACGTAACCAAAATGCAGATTAACTTCAGGACAGCCTCCTGTGAGAGATGACTGTCTGGCACTCCGGTGACCGAGAGGGAACACAAGCTTTGATAGTTCCCTCTCTGTGAGGGGTCAGAGTCCAGAGAAAAAGCGAATGGCTGCATTCCTCCTTAGGGCCTGGCCCTTCTGGGGGAAATTACTTGCTTACAGGGACCCCGGGGGCCAGAGGCATGGAGAAGAGGCTCTAGGACTGGCAGAGTGGGGATGTTTGAAGACCCTGAAGGTGGACAGCTGCAAAGGACTTCTTAGAGACTAGGATAGGCCGGGACTGTCATGTATAGGAAAATGATGTGTAAAATGGAGGGCACAAAGCACACCAGGGCGTGATTATTGGGTGAAGGTGATTTCCTCATTTCTTCTTTACTGTACCCCTTTCCTGCCTCTCCCAGCCCATGATGGTTCAGGGAGAAAGAGGTTGCTGAGTGTGGGCCTGTGCGGAGGGAGGCCCCTACATGCTTGAGAGGGTTGGGAGAGAAAGAATTGGCAGTCAGTGGGGGAGGGGCCTTCTCCTGCAACCATAAATACAAATTTTATTCAAGGTCTTTGTCGCCATTTGTCTTCCTGGGGGTGGTGGGGGGAGGCTGAGGGCCATGTCGGGGCCGTGCATGTCTAATTCCAGATCTGCTCCCCCAGGCTGGATGATGGATGGGTCAGCGAGAAGAGAGCAGGTCAGGGCTCACATCAGCCTCTCCTGCCTGATCCTCAAGCCCCATCATCGACCCCAGGTCCAGCCACTCCTCTCCTTTCTCCTCCGCACTCCCTCCACTCACCTGAGGCAATCTTTGCTCAGCCCTGCTCCTCACCCCACTCTCCGACTCACCAAGACCCTCTTTTTTGAGCCCCTCACCTCAGCCCTCTTCTTGGAGCTTCCCTTCTCCCCCTATCCCCAGCCCAGGCTATGAGCTGCGTTGACCGGCAGGCTGCAGGCAGCAGCGGGTGTGTGTGGTGGGAGGGGAGCAGGCTTGGCTCACAGGGAGCTGAGGGGCCAGCTCCATGAATTTATTCATGTTCTGTTGCTCTTTCCCCACGCTCTGGAATGAAGCTGCCAGCTCACTAGGTCCTTATTTCTTCCCCTGCAGCTGTCACAAGGAGGGATCTGGGTAGGGTCAAGGCCAGTGCTCCTGAGGCCAAAAGCCAAGTGTCTGGGTTCAAGAGGAAATTCTGGGGCCCAAGCTGGGACCTGGGGTTATTTCCCCAAAGCTCTTGGGGAACCAAACTCGGAGGCCCCAGGGTGGTGATATGGTTGGGAAGGGGAGGTAAGCAGAGAAGGTTGTGCTACAGGACATAGAAGGAGCAGTGGAGGTGGGGACAAGGCTGATGGGGGAGAAGAGGAGAGAGGAAAACTTTAAGGAGTTCCCTAGGCTCCCCTCTATAAAAGCACAGTCTAGCCTGAATCTTGCCTTAACCCCCCACCCTGACTCTGCACTAATCCTGACCCTAATCCCAAATTATACACTTGACTCCTTTCCAATCCAATATGAATCCTAACTCCATAACCTCACCCTAAATGGAGCCCCTCCCCACTGGTCCTGTCCTGGAACCCAAGGGTCTCTCAAGAATTTTCCCCAGGGCTTACAGTCAGGTGTGCCTCAGAGTTCTGAGGACCAGACTTTTGATTAGCATGTGATTAGCATATTATTTGCATGTAATATGTGCCTTCTACTCTGTGGAAGTTTTCATGTTAAAATTTTATGAAGTCTAGCAGAAAGGTCCTGGCTTCTTGAAGGTTCTCTCTTTTTGTTCCTTTTCCCACACTCCTTATCACTGATCCCAATGCCCTCAAGGGGAAGAAAGGGGGTGAGGAGATGAGCAATAAAGGGCTCATGGGAGGGAGGAGTCTGGCAGGGTAATCTGCTCTTGTCATTGCAGTGTAACCTCCACAAGCCTCAGTTTCCTTATCTGTAAGAGGAGAGGAACCAGCTGGCTGATGCTACATTAAGAATTAAGG